GACCCATTTGATGGCCAATTGTGCCTTGGCGATTGTCTGCTCCGGTCGCTGCTGCTGACATGTTCGACTTAATGGACTTTAGTCATCATTAGTGGCCCTTTGGCGGGCTCTGTCACCCCCCCGTCGCTGCCGCATGACCGCCTGACCGCAAGTCTGCCATAATTTAGTGAAGCAAACGAAATGGAATCGCATAGCCGGGGCATCGGTATTTCGATGCCGAGAATGAGAATCGGAATGGGAATATGGGTATCGATGTCGGCCGTGCCTGCTGGGGCCATAATCCACTCATATGCTTTGCGTTGTTGGCGGAGGAGCTCTAGGAGCTCTAGAAGCGGCGCTTCCATTTGCGCTTTGTTGCCATCAATTGTGCATTGAACTGTGCAAATGTTTGTGTGTATAGTCGCCCCCGCACCTTCCTGACCTTCCATGTGAGTTCGAGTCCTTGTTTTCCCTTTACTCCCCCTGAAAGGGAAGCATGCGCAGGTCTTGAGAAGAAGAAATATTCTTCTTGAAACAATTGAAGCAGCCGCAACCTTTGGCATAGACGAGCACGTCGAATAGTTGCCAACGACGAGTGTGGATTGTTGGTTTTTCTCCGAAAAAGAAAATGCTGCAAGCTTTTCAATATTTTAGCAATCTTATACACAGAGAGAAAACTAAGTTATTTTTAAGGATTGAGAAATAATTTGAACTTATATATCTTTCTTCACAACATATTTGGTAAATATTTCTGCCTTAAAAAAGCTTTAATAGCACTTACAACATTTTAGATATGGCTTTTCCCTATATTCTTTTTAATAGGCTAAAATTTTCCCATGGTTTTCCTCTATTTTTCCTTCTGTACCTCCACTTCAAACGACCCCCGCAAAAGTTTCATCTGCAAGAGGAAACTGGGGAATTATGCTGACGCATTTAAAATGCAATAAATGTGGGCGTGGCCATGGTCGTAAGCGTGGGCCCGAGCTGAGCCAGCAATTTTTGCCAGTCGTGCAAAATGTCAAACATGTCAATCAAAAGTCATTTGCTATGCTGCCCGCATGCCACGCAGCTCGGCGAATTTGGCCCAAAACAGTTTGGCGTTTTGCGTTCGCCGTTTCCAGCTTGCCGCTCTCGTCCTGTCGCAGGATGCGTCGCGTGTCACATATCGAGCTGCAGTTGAGCGTTCGAGGGTATGACAGACGCGTCAGTCGCCTGGCAATTTAGCAGGTTTCGTGCCAGGGAAAGCCGCTTATGCATTTCACAAGCCCTTCTTAACTCTGGGCCACTTTGACTGGCAACTGGCAACAGGCAACCCCAGAACGCCTTGACAGATGCAATACTTTTTGGTTAAAACTCAGAGTATTTGCAGCCGGCACGCCTAATATCAAGGGAGGCAAAAGTCAAAGGCAAGCCTGCGGGACCCTTTGGTCCCTTGATGTTTGCCAATTTAAATTCGGTTGTATGTGTCATGCGGAGCGTGCGCCTTGTTTATACATACATATGAGCTGGCATAAAGATTGACTCTTGGTTGGGAAATACCCTGCCAGAGATTAACGGGTAGGAGTCGGTTTTGAAGATAATATAAACGAATTTGATTTGCATTTTAAAGAAGAATTTTAAGAAGGGTTTCAGGGTTTAATTAAATTAGCATTGAATCCCTTGAGAGCTTCTTAGAAGTAAGGTAAAGTTTATGACTTTAATATCTCCAACAGATCAATAATAATAAAACCGTAATTATCAACATAAACTCAATAATCTGAGAAAAAAATAGGTGATTTAAACTAAGCTTGCAATATATTTATGATAAGTTTACCCTCAAATTCCCTTGCTAACAAAAAGGGCATCCAACATTCGCTCTAACCTTCCCAAACCTCCTCTTGTTTTCATATATTTGCTGTTTGATTTGTTTGCGGATGCAGGTTGCGTCTGTGCCAGGGGCATTGGGATGGGGGCTGGATTTGAAATTTGTGTAAATTGAATTTATTGAAGTCTAATAGTCCCACGTGTGTGTGTTCGCATATCTGCTGGCGATGCCAGACTTTCCTGACAGCCCGTCAATATATCGATAGCGGGAGGTGAAGACTTTTGATGTCAAAATTGCTGCAAGGCGTTATTTTTCCTTCGCCGGTATTAGTTGGCCTCAAGCTGGAGGGTATAGTATGATGGTGGTGGTGGTGGCATTTATGTATAGTCTACTTAAAGGCTTCCTTCCTTACACCCCAAAGCAATTTCAAGTTGCGGGTGGCCCCTTAGCCCGGGCGTAAGTTCGGATTTCGATGGCGGGATTCTGTGAGCACGTCAAGCGAAGACAAACAATTTAACTGAACGCTGAAAAGGGGTGATTACGCGCATGTAAGGATGGTGTGTGTACGGTGTGTGTGTGGGCTTGGAGGGTGTCCTCCTTTTTCAGTGACGGGTGTTTGTTGACTGGCGCCGCCGCCACCGCCGCAACCACAAATGCAAAAAACACCGACAAAGCGCCTGATAGCAGAGCGTCACTCCTGCCAAGCGACGACTTCATTTCGAATAATTTACATTTTGCGGAATTTACGCTGAAATTTTAATTGGAATTTACTTTGCGACTTTTTCGTGGGCGAGCTTGCTGCGTAGAGCTAATTTATGACTGGTGGAAAAACTTTTGCCTCGTCTTCCGCTTGTTGACAAGCCAAATTTGTCATGCATTTAATGGCTTAAGCAGCCGGGCTGTCACGGCAATATTGAGCCGCTTGTAAGACAAGTACAATCGGACAGCATGGCGTATGCGTAATGTTTTTGTTGGGTGGTTTAAAAGGGATATTTTGTTTCAATTAGAGTCGAAAAGCAAGGAATTCTTTAAGGGGAAAGGGGTTTTTGGAGAAATTATTTGGATAATAAAATTATATTGACTAATTAGTTATTTCATGTTGTCTGTACTTGTATTATCTCCTAAAAAAGTTAAAAAATTTCACACAAAATGTTCAATAAATTACTCAATGATTTAAACTAAATTTACCATATTTTTAAATATTTTTAAATTGCAAATTAGGTTATTTATAGTTATCTTTTCAGGTAAGTTCTTTTTGCATTAAAGATGCATTTAACAGGGCTGTAAATGTAACCCATTAACACACATTTACAGAACTGTCACGAGGCTAACAGCTGGCTAACAGCCGAGCGCTGTTCGGCTCGCTCTCGACTGCTCACGATTGAGCGCCTGAGTGGGTGGCGAGTGGGCGGCGTTGAGTGATTGAGCGAGACTGAGCGCCCATTTTGAGTGCAACATGCGCGTGGCTCGGCTCGGCGTCTCTCTCTTGTGTGTATTTGTGCACATTCCGAGCCGTGAACTCGGCCTGTGTGTAAGTGTGTCAGTGGCGGCGAGTGAGTGTGCCTCAAGCTTTCGGGCTTATCGAGCTTCGTGCGGCGCTCAGGGAAATTCGGCAGTTCATTCGTCTGTCAGTCGCAGTTCGCAGCAGCAGCAGCCGCAGCAACAGCAGCAGCAGCAATTCGCAGTCGCCGTCGCTGTCGCAGTCGCAGTCTGTAGTTCGATGTTCGCTGCCAGCTGCTGGCAATCGCAAAATCGCAGTCGCACTCGCAGTGGCAGTCGATATAGGCGCGCGCTACACCTACAGCATCATCATCCCAAAGCACAGCAGCATTTCCCAGAGGAAAGCTCGGAAAACTGCCCGAAATCAGGGCGACAAAAAAGAGGAGTCGGAGTCGGAGTCGGAGCGAATTAATGATTATTGCTGGAGATTACAGGCGTTCGCTAAACGGTAAACGGATGCAACGATGAATCTGTCGCGCGCGCGTGCCATTGCGTATACGCAGCGTGGCCGTCGGTCGGTCGGTCGTTCGGTCTATCGGTCGCTCTATCAAGCGGTGTGACATTGCGCTCTTGCTTCCGCTGCCGAAATACAAAATAGCATAGCCGCCAAACGGCAACTGCAGTTTGTCGTTAATTTAAGAATATCTTTCCTTTCCGTTCTCTGGTTCTCTAGTTCTTGTTCTTGTGCGAAAATCAAATGAAAACAAATGCAATAAAAGTATTTCAAAGAGTGCACACACTGCACAGCCTTCGCGAAAAATACATATTTCGATATATAATTGCCCTTGTGTGTTTTTCGTTCCGTGTTTTAGTGCTTAATAATAAAATGTTGTCGCGCAAATATGAAACAAACACGTTCGACGGGGGTTTAAATGCCAGAAATGCCAATAATTAATAAATAAATTGTAAAACACAAGCCCCACTTGTAATATATATGTTATGTGCCCTGAACAAATGCAACAATCGAGCTCTGTACTTGAGGCGCAGCTATAACTAGAAGCGGTAGCTTTAGTGGCGATAACATAAATAAGAGCTGCTAGGCGGAATCACCGTCGGTCGCAGCCACTCATCAGAATTATCAGCAGCGGGAAAGGGTAAAGGGAAAGGCTAGAGAGGTTGTCCGTGAGCCAAGTTAACCATTCAGACGCACACTACACACTTTAAGTTGTAATGCCAAATGCCTCCGGCTCGGCAATCAAAGTTGCTTAACGATGCACACCAAGAAAATCCTCTTAAATGATGATCGATCGTCTACACATTTGCAGGAAAAACACAATAATTGGGTGAATGAATATGAGAGATATGGAACACTTGATAATTACAATAATAGATCAAAGGTTTCTCTACATTTTTTAGAAGTTTTTTCAGCTCTATCTTTTATATATTTAAATGAAAAGTAAACAAATAATTAAGTTCATAAAGGTTTTCTAGTTATAATTTTTTCTTAATGAGAAATGATATATAAAATAAGCTCTTATTCTCAAGATAAAAATATAGCTTTAACAGGGAACTCTTCTTTAAAAATCCATGAATAAAGTAGAAATGTTAGAAAAAATATATATTTCATATAATTATTATACCAATATATTCAATTAACACGTTATTTTGGAACATAACATTCTCCTGAGTTTGTAATACTTTTACATGATATTGTTCAGTTCAAATTCCTAAGCTTACTTAAAAAAAATGTATAAAAAATAAAGACTTGCTTGTGTGCTCTAAACGGAAGTGTTGGTATTGCCGCTGCTCAGGCGCTGTCGCAGCTCAGTCACTGAGACGCCGAGGCGCTGAGTCGCTCTGTCGGTACAGAAATTGTCATCTCATAACGACTTAAGCTGCTCGGCACGCAACATGACCGGGCTGAGCAGCATAGTCAGCATTTCTGCAGTTCCCAGAAGGCAGCCACCCACTTTTCCACCCACTGCCATTGCCCCTGGGGTCATACATACACACACACACTCACACTCGCACACACTTAAAGCCTCAACAAACGCATCCACATCCACATTCAGAAAATCTTGGATGGCGATGATGACGATGATGACAATGGGCGGATGATGGCAAAGTCATTTCTTTAAAGGCACAGACAGCCCCTCACTCACTCGTCTGTCCTCAGTTCTGTGTGCACTGAGTGATTTTGTTTGCCGTGATGCCTTCTATTTATTTTCTATTTATTCGATTTGCATTTCCACTCTCTCCGAGAGACCTCTATAGATTTTGAATGCGAAATCCGACAGAGTCTAGAGCTCAGCTCCGTCTTAGTCTTACCAAAAATCGAAGAGTGTTTGTCTGTTTTGTTGACTTGGCTATCGGCATCATCTGTAGGCAGCGAGCATTCCCGCCATCCAGTGACTAAGTGGTGAGTATCAAAATAAATAATATTTGGCATTAATTAACAATGCATCTAGTATTTGCCCTGTCCATACTATGTATATATGTGTATATTTATGTGCTCGCACTCTGTGAGCCGCCGCCCCATTGAGTGCCAGACATTGCGGATCCAGTGTTTGCACAATAATCTCACAATCAGCTTATACTTAAACCCAGATCTGCAGCTCCTATAAATTAAATACAGTGCGCTTCACTGCCAATAGACAATTCAGAGACAGCGATGCTTAATGTGCTGAGCCCAGGGAGCGTTAAGATCTAAGCTGATTGAATAAGGCCATTTCCCGACACCACATAAACAGAGACAGAGCGAGTGAGAGTTATTAATTTCAATTGGATTAATTGCGGAGAAGATTAATTAGCGCCTTAAAAGGTGTTGGCACATTTATAATCATACATAGACACACATGTGATAATCATTTTCATTTTACATTTAACACATGAGTTACCAATTTAATTAGTTTCAATACAGATTCTCTTGGAGAAGTTGTTAGATTTTGTGGCTTGAATTAAAAGCCTGTTTCTTCAATGTCTTTTAAACTATGATATAAATTTCTGTTACCGGTTAGGGATTACATTTGTATAGCTTTATCATAAATTTATATATTGAAATTTATAATAATTTAAATAATGATAATCTCATGAACTCTTTAGTCATTACTCACTGTGTTTTAAATCTGATAAGACCTATTTGTTCCGCGCCAATTTCAATTAGTTTCCCTAATATACACTTTGGTGCCTTACTATATTTTCTTATCAAGACGAGGCTTTCTCTATAGAGCTAACAGCATGATTGATTTTTTCTTTTAATAATTAACCATTTAAGTTCATTGCTTTAATCATGATGAACCTGATTCCAATTATTCCGAATTAAGATCCCAATTTGCATTCAAGTTGAATGGCCAAAAGGGAAGTGCCAAATGGCTGGACGAATGGCAGCCTTAATGCAATTGTATTTTAACTGGCGGCCCCATTGAAAAAGCCATTTAAATGAGATTACACATTCTGGCCGTTGGCCACGCCTAGTTTTTGCGGTGAAACGTGGGCGGATGGCTCTGGGCTGGCTCATTAATTATGATACTTTGAGTTGCGAGTGGCGGCGATGGCTTGCGGCATGTATCGGAAATACACGTTAAATCGGCAAATAACCGCAAGCCGATCGACCACACACACCCCACACACACACACACCCTACATACACACCCCCCAACCCCCAAAAGCACACACTCTTCTCCCACTGAGCATACTTAATGACACAGGGGGATGACGACGACGACGACGGCGACGACGACAGGTGTTTAAAACTTTTCTTTAAAATGCGTCTCCTCGGGGAAGGAAAACTCTGGGGATGTTGCGCTATGTTGGCTATATGGCTATATGGCTATGTCTTTGCCCGATGCCGCCGCCAGCGAATCTGGGGCGTTGCCGGCATTTTCCTGCTCAATCAACTTCAATCAAGCAGGAATTTTCAATGTAATTTGTGGTTTCAAAAGCGCTGCCTTCGCTGTGAAGATGTTCGTGGCTGTGTCAAAGGCAGCCATTGAATGTGTAGAAAGGCAGAAAATTATCGGCAAGGCCCAGCAGCATTCACAAAAGGAATTTTGTGATTTAGGGTAACGACAAGCAAATACCTCTTGGATATATTTTAAAACCAAAAAACAAATTTAGAGATAGTTTTCATAAAGAGATTTGGGTTTTTCTTCTTTCTAATTTTAAAAGTTATTAAACTTAACTATAATTTTTTTTAAAAAACATCATGCTCTTGGTCCTTACAACTAATGGATACTAAAAAACACCCGCACCAATATACACACACACAGGCAGCAATGAAAGTTGGCGTCGTGGAACAAATGAAGCAGTGTGAAAATCTTGTGTTGGGACCGCTCAGCGCTCTCCTTCCGCTTGATTTGATGGCCTCTGGGCTGCTTCTCGTTTTCCTTTTTCGCCTTTCCTTGTTCCCTTTTTGCCCAACTTCAAATTACGGCCAGAAACAAAGCCGAGGAAGCAGAGGAAGGAAATGCCCGCCGTCTGTCCGCTTGATTAGAAAAGCTGCAAGCGATAAGAGCCGTCGAGCTGTTGAAGGGAAAGCGCAAAAATAAAATAGAATTCTAATTGAATTTTATATACACAGATTCTTGTTTTCTGTCGGGCCATTTTCCCTTTTTAATTCGCACTCCACGGACTGCACTCACTGCCCGTCCATTTGATGTCCTTCTTGTGTCGCCGGGGCCTTGATTTATTGGCCAAATGGGACGTCTAAGAATAAGGCGTTGCGCTTTTGGAGCTCCGACTTTTCCAGCGTTTTTAATTGCCTGTCAGTCGCTGCTCAGCATATCCTTAAACAGGGGTAACGGCCATTCTGTCCGGACTCAGGACTCCCAACTCCAGTATGGTGTTTGGAATATATGCAAACAATTCGGTCACAAACTTTCCCAACTTGGCAAGGACAATTATGTGGTGTTTAAAGCCACAGCAGGAAGTAGTCAAGTCATAAAGATACAAAGGAAAATGTCATAGAATGGTATAAGAGAGGGTTTAATACCCTTACTGTCTGGTTTATTTCGAGACTGCCTTTATGATTTAGTTTCCTTAAGGAAATCCTTATCCTAACGGATATACCTTAAATAAAGGTATACAAATATATATATTTTTACCTGCGGTGACAACTATCAGCCTTACAGCTTGTGCTCGACACGAAGGCAACCGCAATACCAAATCCGGAACATCCCCCTAAACGAAAAAAAACCAACAACAAGAGAGGCTGAAAAGTGAGTGAAAAACTTGACACAGTTGTCGCTCTGCCAGGTCTTTTCTTGAGCGCTGAAGAGACAAAAAAAAAAAAAACCGAGGCGAGACAGAAACAAATCAAATATTTAAAGCTCATTGAAGCGCAAACTTTGACACATGTTAATGGCAAACTCAGGGGGATGATGAGGGCGATGGCGGCAGCAGCTTTGATCGGAACGAAGATAAATGGCAAGGGCGCTAGTGGCTGGGACTAACTAACACTATCCGATGTTGACCACATTCAGATCCAGTTACCCTGCTGCGGTTTGGGGCCCCAGTCAAGATAACCCGGAAGAATAACACGACAGGGCTCAACACCTGAGCATTGAGCATTAAATGCGCTTTGCTTCGCCATTCCCTTTGCCAGCCTTCGGGCTGTCAATAAAAATACACAAAATACACAGACAGAGAGGGAGGGAGGGCTGCTGGGCTGGCTGCCTAAAAGCCAAGTTGAATATGCTCTGGCAGAAAGGATTTGGCAATGGAAAGCAAACAAAAAGCGCACAAGTTGGCAACTGAACTTTTTCCAAAAACCGGCTTACCCAAAGGGGCGGACGAGGATTTGGGAGAACAGTGCGTATGCGTGATAGATTTTCAGTTCTGTCTCGCTTCAACGACACAGAAAAAAATAACAGAGGAAAAAAAAACCAAGCAGAGTAAAGGATAACCAGCTTAGCACGCTTCAACAATCCTCCACAAGTAAAGTCAATTAGAGTGCTCCTGCGGACTGTGTCAAAGGTCCGGCTTAAAAAAGTTAATTTCATAATTTATACAGAGTCACTCCACGACGACCCCGTAGATTTCAATTTAAAACTCCGCATTCAGTGCCAAGTGTTATGCTAATGAAAGTGAAGGCAAACAAATCGTTCTGGGATGGCGCAAGGAAATGAATTAAAAATTAAAGCCCAAAGCTGCAGCAGGAGTCGCAAATAGGAATGCGAATGCGGAATGCAGATGAAAGAGAAAAGCGAGGAAAAGAAACTGGGAATACAAATAAGTATTCATCTAGGAAAACAAGCAAAAGCTGTCTGCAGCTACGAGGGAAATCGCTCAAGTTTTAATTAGTTTGCCATGCAACCGCATTACGCAAGGACCTCTTACAATTAAAGTTGAGTTTTTTGCCCCTCTTTGGGGGCAGGCAACACAGTGTCAAAGTTCAGCCAGCCAAATGGGAAGCTCTAATAATTTTTTTCACCCAACATCGAGCTTTGAATTGCACATAAATTCTTAATTGACTTTGCACAGCAGCAGCAACAACATCTGCAGCGGCAATAACTAAATCAAATTAATAGAATATTACGCATTCGCCATGTTTGCACTGTAATAATTTCCATTCGCAGTCAGCCGAGTGCCATATAACCACTCATCATCATCATCGTCCCCATCGAGTGCCTCTTCCACTCCATGCCTCTGCATATATTCACACTTGATTGGCCGGCTTTGAATGCACTATAAAGCAAAAGTATTTGTGCAAACACATTTGTGTTCTAGTGGAAGCCGCCACTATTCAGCCTATAGCTTTTATAGAGTAGTGCCAAAAAAAAATATATGCGTAATTATAGAATGACCTCAATTACAGTGCGTTTCACCAGCAACAAATTGTGAGTACATTGAGGCACCGAATTGATGTTTTCAGTGAATTTATACATGTTTTCAAGTGAAGCACCCCCCGAATCATTCAAGCGCGGTAATAATAACTTTTTAAATGAAATCGATTTGGGTTTGATTCGATTTTAATTCCCCAATATTGGCAGGTAATGAAATCTGAATAGTTTTGGGTGTTTGGATTTTTATGGTTGAAGGGGAATTGAGGAAATGAATTAAACCTTTTACATTTTTTCACAAAGGAAATTCTGTTTACAAAACTATTAAAAACACAACAAATTAAATCATTAATGTTTTTCTAAAGAATTATTTTATTGTGGAGACGCATTTAGATTTAATTATGCTACGGACGGAATTCAATTACCTCAAGTCAAATTATTAAAAACAGTTATGCTGGATATAATTTCTAATACAATGTTTATATTATTATTTTTTTCAAGCTTGGATCTATTTACGACCTACGTTTTCCTGTATGCTTTTCCCTCATCAATTATTTAGTCAGCCAGCGTCGGTTCTTGTCACACCCAACTTACTCAACCTTTAACATTCACTTTAGCCGTCTTTACTACTTCCCTTACG